GTCCCATCTCCGAAACGTCGTTTTACGTTTTATATTTACTAGACGATGGATAATATCCAAGAAAATTTTTATTCAATTGTAGTAATGTACCTCAGTAAAAACACATAAAAACGGATATCCAATTAATAACACATAGGATGATGAGGTTAGTTATATGACCATAAGTCGATAATCGAGGATAAATACAAAAATATGTACAGGATAATATAAGAGCAGCGATAATAGATATGCACGGAATACGGCAAGCTCGCAAGAAGTGTTATGCAGCAACAGATCCGCGTGTACGAGAACGCAGATCAATAAATATTGATCCATAATTAAAGCGAAAACTTTGGGACTTTTTTTCGCATGATGTACAAGACAAATATAAGAGGAAATATGTGTCTGCCTGAAACTCTCGATATTCTTCAGTATGTCAGAAGGAGTTTAAAAGAATCTGATAGGATAAGATAACACTAATCTTTGATCTCAACAAGTACAGATGTAGGCTGTAGGGGGAGTGAAGGTGGTATATCTGCTCTTCGTTCTAGATCTTGGCACCAGATGGGCGTGAGTGTCCAGCCCCAGCAGAGCCTTACCCCAGGGGCCACCAACGCCCATGCGATAGCAGACTGGGTAGACCCCACAGATAATCTGGACGCAGAGGCCTAAAGAAAAATTATAACCCAATATAAGGTATCGAACTTGCAAGCCTGTACTTAACTAGAAATTCAACAAACACGAATACACGCATTCATGGCCTAAGACACCTCGTGATTTGTACTATTAATACTCAATTATGATAAGAATAATTTATAGCATATCTGAACACTGGTGGAAATGGATAGTTGAAAATAAACAGTTCGTTTCGATTCATCATCCCTTGTTTATTTCTTAATTCCTATTAACCCTTTCAAAAACTGTCTCCTTCTGAATTATTTATAAAATCTGCCTAATTGTAGCAGCACTTATAAAATATGGCATATTTCTTGCCTTGGAAACCAAAACTTAAAATATTTATGGAAAACACTGCGGTTCTGAAGCTGTAAGTCGCTTTTCACTAAAGATAAAAAAAAAAATAAGAAAACTCTAGCGGGAAACTATGCCCACAGTACGCTCAACTTCGTCATAAAAACACATTTTTAAAAAAAATTGAAAATACACTTCTTAAAAGTCATATCTTCACGAAATATTTTCAGAAATTTTGACAAATTATAAATTTTATATTTACAGAAGCTTAAAAACAGCCAGAAAATAAGTTTAAAAACGTGGACACAAAAATTATATTTAAATATTTATCTTTATCTCTGTTGAAATTCTACAAGAAGATACGAAGTTTTGTACACTGATGACATGTGAAACGCCAATGTCATTCCAGGCTACTTGGTGCCAAAATTGTATGCACATTATTCAGAAACATAAAAAATAGACAACTCAGTTACAGGAAAATTAAATTGAGCACGATAAAGTATATAAAGTAATCTCTTCAGTGACACAACCGACAATAATAACATAATAGTTAAATTACTGATAAAAATAATCTGTTATTATCGGGACAAATATTAGACAGGAGTCGTAAAATTTACAGAAACCGGTTACCAACAAGCACTTCTGTTTACAACAGCCGCCTCACAAAGCAAGCTGTTCCCTGTTTTCGATAAACACACCTCAGGTAGCACAGCGAAGGAGGACCTTGAAGGTCTCTGATTCCATTAAGACAACGGAAGGAGCTATGTCCCAAACTAGTGACAACTATCGAACAAGACAATCTTCGACACACAGGCCCACACATTTGTGTCACTGGTTAAAAGTCAAAGGAACTAAAGACGCTTTTGTGAGAACTGGCATTTACACTGGGTTGCCCAAACCGAAAGCCCACACTGACAATTAAATAACTGTCCTACAGCAACAACCGATGGGGTGTAAAAAATAAAAATTAAATAAAATAAGACTGACAACCTGTTTCAATTAACGCGGATCTATTAGAATGTCACATTGCGACTACCAGCTGCTGTGTGCGTATTTTAATGCATCAGGGCCTTAAGAGAGTCCGCGTGGATACAAGTTATATACGATGACAGCGGGGTGGGGGTGGGGGGGTATTTTCATTTTATGAACATGTAAATTCTATTTTTGTCGGTTGGGGCCAATTATTAAGGTTATAAAGACGTACATTTATTTCCATATGATCAAACTCACCAGTTTTCCCGGCAACCAAACAGTGTTGGTACCTATTAAATAGCTAAAGAGGGATTTATAAGCCCAGCGTACAGTTTTAATACAGTTTAAATGATTTGAATGTGTATGTAATAGAGCGAGACAGAGGGATACAGACGGACAACGGTCATCGTCGGGTTCAAAGTAAAATAGAGACTGCAGCTAAACATTATGTGTGAACGTTACAAAGTTTCGAAAAAAAAAAACTCGTGGGACAGCAATGACCCACAAAAATAGCAGCTCCAGTGTCGACCAGCTTAGTAATAATGCTTATAGAATGTGCAGGGTTATTTTTCACAGAACATACACTTTATGGGATTTAAAAAGTTATATAATACGAATCCTGAACATTCACATAGGCCGCGTGTGTGTGTGTGTATCTAGTGAGAACATATAGGAATTTCAGTATGGGTGTGGGATGGATCACAGAGAGAGAAAGGAAAACTACCACTTTTAATATGAGGGTGAGTGAACTGGAAGGCTTGAACATTTTATTTGGCCTGAACCTTCCAAAAGCCCCCCCCCCTCTCCTCCTCTCGTCACTAAAGCAGCCTATTTACTGCATCATTGGCTTTTCACCACGGCGCAAAGCGTCGCACAGTGCAACCCCAAACGGCACCCCTTTCATCCGGCCTTTACCAGTTTTTCCCTCTAACGGAAAAAAAAAACTTTTTATCTTCGCACTTTTAACAGTAATGTGAAGAATGCAAATTCATTACACTGAAGTACCGAT